CAGGGGGCTCCGCGGGAGCCGCGCGGCTCGTCTCCTTGGCGACGCCGTTCAGCAGGACAATGTGCGGGGGGGCCATGCGGGCCTCGGCCGCGTCCCGTCCCTCTAGCGGGGGGTCACTGCAGGCCGCCTCGCTCGGCGGCTGCTCCGTCATCCTGTAGACAGACAGGCGGACACCCGCTCTAACAACCGCCCCGGGCCCACGGGCGTGGAGGTGGGGTAAAGGGATAAAGGGTAGAGAGAGTAACTCACACACTGAAACGTGAGGACAACTTAGGGACAAGTGGAGACACACCCGCCCTAGGGGCCTGAAGGCAGAGCGGGGCCAGGGCGGGAGGGAATAGGGGTCTCTGGATAGGGAGAAGAGGGAGGGTGGTGTGCCTGGGAGATTCAGAGACTGAGAGGGTCAAAAAGACAGACGGAGAAAGACAAACATTGGAAGAAAAGGAACCGAGCCAGCGAAAGAAAAACAGAAGGGAAAAAAGGAGGAAGGAAATGTCGAGAGAAAGAGAAAGAATGATCACCCCGTCCCCCTTCTCAGGCCGCAAGGGAAGAGGTGGGAACACAATCCCCCACCCGCTCTTCCCGCCCCCCTTTTGGTTTTGGGCGGGGAATCTGTCGGGCAGAGGTGGGGTGCTTTTCGAACCTCCCATTCCTTCTCAGTAATGCCCACCCTGCCAGCCTACTGCCACACACATACACCCAGAAACCCTCATGGAGGTGGAAGCAGGAATATTGGGGAATGGAGGCTACAGGCGCTGGGGTCCAGTCTGGCAGAACTGGCAGTGAATTATCCAGAGGTACTAACAACCCCCCCCCACCCCACCTACACACATATATTTTCACCCTGGACTCGGAGTGTGAGTCTACACTAAGCAAATCTACTTGTACTCAGTGTGCCGCTCCCACCCAGACCCGGAGATGAGTTGTTGGGAAGGGACAAAGAGGATTCCGACCCTACCTCCCTACTGCACCTGGTTCTGCTCAGCTGGACTCATAAGTGATGACAGGTCTGGAAGGGCAGTGTGGCTGAAGCGGTGGAGCCCAAACATTTAAAGAGTGAGCCTGAGGTTGGTAGGGTCTGGGCTGCATTTCAAAAGCCAGCAGGGCAACTTGAAGGCCCTTGAACCCTTCCAGCCTGCCCTCCTCCCATTCTCCCATCTTGGCGTCCTCCTCTGGGAAATGGGAAGAATGCTTCGTTTATGCATTTAAAAGCACTGTGCAAATTCTCAAATAGTTATTAATGACAAGACTTGGTCAGAGAGGTGACTACTTCATGCAAGGTCACACGGAGCCTACAGGGGATAGAGACAGACCAGAACTCTGATCCCACTCTGCTCTACTTGCCTGTATATCCACAGGAGCCTGAGTCACTACTTCTGTCCCTCACAACTCCACTCCAGAACGACTGCAGCTCCACTCCCCACTAGCAAACGCTTGGGTTCTTACATTACCCAGCTTCCATCATGATAGAGCCAAGTCCCAGCAAGAAGGAAAACAGAAAAACCATGAAACTCTGGATTCAGAGTTTGGGGGTATTTGCAAGTTGCTTTAATTATATATAATTAATACAATATAATTAATATATAAATATATAAAATAACATATTAATTACATTGCTTTAATTATATATGTATATAACCAAAAAAAAAAAAAACCCGTTGCCCATCAGTCAATTTCAACTCATAGCGACCCTACAGGACCGAGTAGAACTGCCCCATAGGATTTCCAAAGACTAGCTGATGGATTCGAACTGCTGACCTTTTGGTTAGCAACGGAGCTCTTAACTGCTTTGAATATATATATGTACACACATATATATATACACACACAAACACATATGCACACATATATACACATATTTGGCATATAAAAAATATACTCGATATATATAAAACAAATTCGACAGGCTTCATAAGACGTTACTCAGAAAAGGCTCTCAGAGCTATATAAAAAGGGATGTTTTAAAGCAAAAAAATAACAATCCAGTTCAGCCCTAAGCAGAGTCCATCTAATTACTCATGGAAACCACTGAGCTCCCATTCTGACACTGCACTGCCCTGGACGGGAGTCAGCCAAGAAACCATCCCTCTACCGCAGAAGGGAGACTGGACCTTCCGCAGCCTCGTCCGGAACGCAGCCCAATTGCCACTAGACACCCGAGCCAATGCAGATCCCAATTCAGATCGCGCCCCAGCCCTGGGTCTGCCAGGCCCCCGGGCCCCGCCCAGAAACGAGGAAATCCCTGTTGACCTGGTGCACACGAGCTACCAAGGCAGTCGGTTGGCCATGCTTCATTCGAGGAGAGTTTACGATTATGGCGGAGACAATAGGTCTGTAGCCACAGAAAGCTAACGGTCCGGGAGCAGCGTTCCACCGCCGAGACACCGCTGGAAACGCACCAGAGGGTATACCAGGTATACCTCCCGCCTCCCCACGACGGTGAAATCCACCAGAAATACATCAGTCTGTGACCAAATATACAAGTCCCAAGATGCTGGCTCCCTACCTCACTGTCCCGACGCATCCCACTGACACGTGCTTCTGCCCCAACTTCTAACCGAGTGACACACGGTGTGCACTGCAATCGCTGGACTGAGCTCAAACTCTCCTTATGACACGTTTATACTCTCTGATTAATTCGCCGTTCTCGCCATAAGAGCGGGTCCCTGAGGGATGAGGGGAGCGGGTATTCCAGATGAGTTTCCCTGGTCCCAAATGCCCTCTCCAGATGCTTATAAATATCTGTATCTCTGAGGCTCCCCCACGAGAAACATACGATTGGCCCCCAGGGTCTGTGGCCGACGTCTCCCCACCCCTTCCCGACCTCAAGTAAACCAAGAGGACTTCTCTGCAACCAGGATCCCCATCCGAATCTCTGCTAGGGGTCCACACCTCCAGCTCACGAAGGCAGGCACGCGAGGACTCACTCACTAGCGCCTACGGTTTTCCGCAACTAAACTCCATCCCTTGAATTTGGTTAAAATTACTGAAAGGAAGGCCTGAATAATTTTAGCTGGTTTTTATTCGGGGAGGTGAAAGGGAAGATTTCGGAATGAATCGCACTGGACTGGAGCATTTGACCATTACGGCTTCTCTGTCTTTGTGCGGTTAAAATCCAGCTCGCACGCAGCCCTGAACACTGGATCCTCTTTGCCTGTCGCGGGACCGCCGGAACATTTCCGTGTGTTTGCCTAAACAACACCCGGGGTCTGGAGAGCTCCCGGGGGTAGGCAACGGGACTCGGGCGGATCTCAATCCTCAGCACCGAGAATTTCTTAGATGAAAAAAGCCTTCGTTCTCAGTGTCCGGGGTTGGAGCCACCGCCTTAGACCCGGCCTCCGGTCCCCGGCACCGCATGCACCCACGCGACCCCCTGGGAGAGCCCCAAGCCTCCACGAGTACCAAAACCTCCAGTGAATAGAACCACTTTCCTGACCGCCACGGGGGTAGACGGGTGTTCCGGTGCGGCCCTGCCCTAGGCCTCAGGCCCGGGGTCAGGGCCGACAGGAGTCCGAACTGCGCTAGGCAGGATGACTGCGGCCTTGCTCCTGCCGGATCCCCAGGCGTAGCCTGCACCACCCGGATATAAAAACCAAAAAAACCAAACCCGTTGCCTTGGAGTTGCTTCCGACTCATAGCGACCCTATAGGACAGGGTAGAACTGCCCCAAAGGGTTTCCAAGGCTGTAATCTTTATGGAAGCAGACTGCCACATCTTTCTCCCGGAGAGCTGCTGGTGGGTTCGAACTGACAACCTCTCGGTTAGTGGCCGAGCGCTTAACCACTGCGCCACGAGGACTCCTTACCACCCGGATATGGCCGCCTCAAAGTTACTGGTCTTGTGAAACATCCACAGAACCCGGGACCGATGGGTGCGGCCTGGAGGACTAAGTCCAACCAGCTGGTTTTACCCAGTCCGGAAAAAGGAAAGGGCCCTGCTGGAAGCCACAAGCAGCCAGAGTCAGATCCCTGATTCCCAGCCCTGGGTTCATCCTACCCTTCCCCTAAACTGCGACTGGCCTCGTCTCTGTTCCGAGCCTACCCCGCTACCAGCCCTGAACCCAAGGCCTCCCTGAACACTACCTCCACCAACATTCTCCCCACCAAAACTCACCTGGGGCATATTTAGAAAGACCGGCAGCTCTGAATAGGATCTCCGCTCCTCCCCCGGAGAGGGGCGGGGGCCCAAGTCCAAGCTGTGGACCTGGTCTTTGCTTTCCCCCTCTCTCGCTGAAAGGCCAGCGATCAGGCGGTGGTGTGGTCCTGTGCGGTCTGCCGCGCCCAAAGCGAGTTTCCAGGAAAGATGGGGGTGGAGAGAGAGAGGGCGAGAGCGAGGGAGAGAGAGTAACGGGGACAGTGGTTGGGAATCAGCTCATGCCCCCACCCACCGGCCCAAGGGATCACCGCTAGCTTTCCGTCTCCAACCAGCAGGTGTTCGGAGCCACCGGGGGTATCTCCCCCCTCCCCCGAAAAAAGAACTCTACACCTAATCAATCAGGAATAACTATTTAGTCCACGAACCACAATTCCTCCTGGGAGGCTTCTTGGAGCATATTCAGACCCTCCAACGGCATCTGTCCTGTTCAGGGAAGCAGTTTGCTTTCCAAGCGCGATGTATCTACGCGGTTGGCTCCGGAACCCGGCTGCAGCCACAGAGCGAGGAGGTCATCCTGGTCCTGGCGGGTGGGTGGGGGGATGTGTGTGAGAAAAGGAGAATCCAGTCTTCAAACCCTGGTCGGTGGGCCAGAACCTCAGAGTCCCTCCTTTCTCTCCACGACCCCCACCTCTCACTTCCAGCCCAAAGCGAAACCAGAACCCAACTCCAGGGGCAGTACTTTTCCCAAAGGAATGGAGTCGCAACGGCGTGAGCAGAAGAGGGAGGGGTGGGGGAGGTAAGGCAGGGTACCTGATCTATTCAGGTCCCTTCTTTTCTTCCTACAAGTTAAGAAAAAGCGGGAGTGGGGGAGAAAAAGAACAAGAAAAAGAAAAAAAAGGGAGGTCGGGGAATCTCCACCTTCTCATCTGTCCTCCCTACGCAATGATTTTCGATTTTTTGGCGTTTGGACTGGCATAGTAGGGGAGAATTGTAATAATTCGTTGCGGCAATAAATAAGGCAAACCCAACACTGCTTCCGAGGGTGTAACGGGATTTAGTTTGCCCCCCCCCCGCCCGTGTTTTGTATAATTTGTTTTGCCTAAATCGTCCATTTTATGATTATACATCGAAGTCTTTGATTATTTGCGGAGGCCTCCTTCTTTTCGCCCGGGATTGGTGGAAATATAGGAATAATTCTTTCCTGCGGTTTCAATCCACTGCCGGAGATTGTTTTTCTCCTCTTCTAATCCAAATTGGGGTAGGGGGTGGGGAATGCTCTCATTCCCTGTGTGTTAGTTCAGGATTAATTTTCGCTTTATGGCTGAGTCTCTGTGTCGGTCCCTATCTCCATATTCTCTCCACCCCAAACCCAGCAACTTAAAAAACAGAGAAGGGGGGGGCGCCGCTTTGTTCTCCCTCCAAAGAAGCCAAAAGCAAAGGGACAAGCCGCTGCGCTCCTGGATGATTATTTTAATTAAGATAGGATGTTAATGACGCTGCTGATGATAATGACGACCACGACATTAGCAACAACAATAACTGGCAAAACAAAATCCTTTCTTCCCGAGCTATGGCAGCACCGACCCGGACCTGGCCGCAGTCACCGACGCGACGGGCACCCGCACCCATGCAGGAAGGGCGCTCACCCGGGGAGGGGGTGGAAAAATGCTCCCCGGAGACCATCCTGAGGATCCCCACCCGAGGCGAGAGGCCTGAAGAATGAGCCCATTGTCCTTTTAGGGCCTCTTCCCCAGACCCCGGCGGCCGCACCCGTGAAACTGACCAGAAATGGACGAAGCCGGTGTGCGACAGGAGCAGAAACCCCAAGCTACTGGCTCTAAGGCGCTGGCCTCGGCTAGCACTGCTCAGCTTCGAGCCTGGAAGAGCCTCCTGCTCTCCAACGAGATCCCAAACACCAAGGTACAGACTGGTCTCTGGACAGAACAGCCGCCAACCAGGCTCCGTCCGCCCATCCACGCCACCACTGGCTCCCGAATACATCATAATTTGGAATAAAATGTGAAATCCCGATCCCCGCCCCCACGCCGCCGTCCCACCAGCTCCTCGATCTCCCACTCACTCTCCCTCCCCTCTCCCACCCCAGCGATTGCAAAAGCACCTCTACAGGACACAAGCACACAGGCACAGAACCCAGTGCGACCAGGACCACACATGACCCAGCCCAAGAGAAGGAAAACAAAGTAAACACAACCCAACACTGACCCACAAGCCAACATGGTCAGGCCTACACACTGTCCAACACGACACAACGAACTCGGTCAAACACAATCGCTCACGGACACACACCCCAACCACACACGCCCGACACAACAACGAAACCATCCAAACACAATGGCAAAGGCTACGTAGCCCAACTCAGAGCAGAACACGCAAAACCGGACACCAGCGGGAAAGGCAAATAAGAATAATCATACACAACGAAGAAAACGCAAAGAACTCGTTGAAGGGTCCCAATCTACACACCCAAACAGCGCAGACACCATCACACTCGGACACACAACCTATTGCCAAGAAGACTTCACTCGGAAACAGTCGACACTGCCACAGCTCGCATCCACGCACTCTACTCTCACAATCCCACCGCATGCACACAACCACGAAGAAGAAATGAAAACCAACCACCGTCTCGCGCATTTCTGTATATTGCGTAAGGAAAAAGGGGAAGGAAGGAAGAGAGCCTTCGAGGCGGGAGGAGCGGCGGCGGCAAGGGCGGGGGCGTCGTGGAAAATGCGCCCCATTGAAAGAAACCGAATGGAAAGGAGCGAAGACTTCTTCTGCGGCCGTGGGGTGGGGCGTGGAGGGAGGAAATTGAGGCGGAATTCCGTGGGAGGCCGCAGGTTGCCTTTTCCCTGGAAAAGGCCAGAATGCTCACGTTTTGCCGGTACGGGGGGAACGCGTGTGGCCATTTTGAGGCCTGGTCCTTAGCCGCCGAGGCCCGGCCCCCTCGCCCGCCCCCTCCCCGCCCGGCGCCGCGCGGCACCCAGGCTCCTCCACCGACACGCTCTAATCCGGCTCACGTTCGAGGCCTCGTTAGCATGGGCCGAGGAGCGCCGGGGCGGTGTGCGCCGCAGAGATAAGGCAGTGCCGCGGGTCCGCCCGCCCCCGATAAGCGCCTCGGCCATTATGGGCCAAATGATTCATTTTAATTTGGCAATTTCACCGGAGGGAGTGAGGACTGGTTGCGCGGCGCTGGGACTGGCTGCGGAATCCGCCACCGAGAGAGAGGAGCACTGTCTAGGACCAGGCTGGTCCAGCCCCCATTTCTGATTCTGAGGCCTCTCGGGAGCCTTAGCTCCCCACAGTCTCATTGCCTTGGCCTTCCAGACACTTTTCTTCAGCGATTTTCACCCCACATTCTGTCTCTATCTCTGAATCATCCCCTCCTAAATCTCTCCCCAGCATTCATTCATTCTTTTTCCAGTGTCCAAAGGATTAAAAAAAAAAAAAAACAGTTGCCATTGAGTCGATTCTACTCCTAGCGACCCTAAAAGACAGAGTAAAACTGCCCTATAGGGTTTCCAAGGAGAGGCTGATGGATTCAAACTGCCGACCTTTTGGTTAGCAGCCTGAGCTCTTAACCACTGCCACCGGGGCTCCTCCAGTGTCCTAGACACCCAGATTTCAGTGGGAAGTTCCCCTTATCCTAGAAAGCTCCCCAGCTTCTCTCTGACTACTGCCCTTCAATCTTGGTCCTTTTCTGCTCTAAAATGGAGCCTGCTTGACCCTAATATCCTGGACTGAGCTCAAACCGAAGGGGCTCTCTGGGGCAGAACTGGTGTCCACATAAAGTTTAGAGCCTGGGAACACCCTTCCCCATAATATTTGTAACAAACACTGCTACTGAAGCACTCTTCTAAGCACCATACAAATATTAACTCATCTAAGTCCCATAAACAGTCCTATGAGGTTGGTGCTATTATAATCCTCAATTTACAGATGGGAAAACTGAGGCACAGAGGGTGAAAGTAACTTTCCCAATGTTTCATAGATAGTGAGTGGTGGTGCCTTGTTTAGAAGCAAGTCTGGCACCAGACTCCTTTCTGGAGCACCACTGATGAAGAGCAGCGGCTAGACCCTAGACTGGGGTGAAGGGTCTGCGTTCAACTCATTGCAGGGACCAAGATCTGAACTGTGGGCTAGGAATCCGAGTTCAGTGAGGGGTGGGTGCCTGGGGCTCAGACCATGGAGGGTATCTGGGTTCATTCTTTCATGGTGGAATGGAAACAGCACAGATTCAAACCTTACAAGTCACTTAGCTCTGAACCTCAATTTCCTCATTTGAAAAATTAGGAGATAATACCTACTTTCACAGAGTTGTGAGGATTAAATAAAATGGCCCTTAAAAGGTGGTGGTGGGAGGTGGTAATTTATGAGACTTCACCCAAGGACTAAGACAACATTGCAGGCACTTGTCCGGGAGTTTCAGTTATTATTGAGAAGGAAGTTAGGCACAGAAAGAACGGACTTGGCCAAAGTGCTACAGTGAACCAGAGGAAAAGCCAGGTCCTGAATCTGCATGTCAAACTCCCAGCCCCAAACTCTACCCACCATGCCAGGCTGCTTTATCATTCCAGCATCTCTAGTTTTGAACTCCATCTGGAGTCTGAGAACTGGGGAAAATCCCTAGTCTGGCTATAGACTGAGTCCTAGTCAAGGACTGAGCCCATAGTGTGCCCCTAGTCTGGGCCCTTGTCCCCCCAGTCATCAGTCTCTGAGAAGCTATGGTTGGGTCTACAACCTGTCCCTCTGTTCCTCATGTGCTCTCTGATGGAAGTCAGGATGCCATTTGGATAGATAACTTTCACAGAACCCTCACAGGAGAAGGGCCACCCGTGTCCTAAGAAAAAGAGTCTAATTCCTGGACTTGCCAGGAGGACTCAGCTTGCCCAATCACACCAACTGCTCAGTAGGGACACTGAAGAGGGGCCTGTATGGTCTGCTCAGCCTCATCTCCCACTGTCTCCTCTATGGCTCCAGTCCTGTCTGCCTAATTGCTCCCACATCAGATTGCACTCTCCCTCCATTGTGCCTTAGCTTCTACTGGTCCTTCTACCTTACTTCCCTCCTCCCACGTGCAAAGCCCAGCCATCCTTCAAGACCCAACCTTTCTGCCACTTTCTCCCTGAAACCTCCTTGCATCTTCCCACTTGGATTTGTTGTTTCCCTGCTCTGGTCCCCATTGCCTTTGCTTGGCTGCAACACTTAGTAGGAAGAGTGGGAGTCATATAATTCTCAGTGTGAAGTCCAGCTCTGCCAGCCTTGGGCTGTAGAATCATTGGGCAAGTCATTTCTCATCTTCAAGCGCCTGTAAAATGGGATCAACCATTCACATATCAAAGAGCCTAGCTGGAGAATACTTCCCTGAGAACATGATGTCTGGACTGAGATTTAAGAGTGAGACTTGGGGGAGGGGGGGAGGTAAAACCATAAGAGCCTTCTAGGTGGGCTGAGGGACCCAGCTGACGCACAGGCTGAAGCAGAGGGCTGTAGGTTCATGAGAGGAACAAAAGAGTCCAGTTATGTCTGGAGCAAACCTGGGAGCTATTTTAAGGATTTTTTTAACCATTTTGTTTGGTTGGTTTGAGGGTGCAGCATCCTATACAGAGTCTGATTTGCATTTTAAAAGAGCTCTTTGGCTGCAGTGTGGAGAAGGGATGTGTGTGGGGTGGGGAGGATACAGGGAGACCAGTTTGGAGGCCAGTGTAGTGGTCCAGGGGAGGGATATTGGAGCTTGAACTAGGGTGCTGGCAAAAGAGATGGTAAGAGGAGAGTGAAGATGACATGTACTTAGCATGAAAACTGGGTTTGTAAAGATTGGGTTTGAGGGGTGAGGGAGAGGGAGGATCCCTGGGTCCCTGGCTCTCAAACCTGGCTAGATGGTGGTATTATCCCTGCAGATGGGGGGTCTGCACGTCAATAGCATGGGAAGGGATTATGGACTTGGTTTTGAATTTCTTGAGTTTAGGTGCTTTTGAGACACCTACAGACCGTTGGATTATTTTCCCAGCATTAAACGATCTACCTGGCCCCGCCAAGCAGGGGTCTAAGCACGGAAAATACCGCCTAGGGCAATTGGTGTTAAATTGCTGAATGATCTCTCACAGCTGGCATGGAAACTGTGATGGCCAACAGAAACTGCTAATTGGCCCCTGGCCTCAAGCGGCTCCCAGGGCACTGCGCCCTATGGCCCCCCACTCCCACCCCTACTTAGGCCTCTGCTTCCAAGGGCTGTAATGAAGGAATCCTGGCAAGTTGGCAGGTGGAAAGGCCTTTGTCAGCCCTACCACCGAGAAGTGCCCAGGCATCTGCAGGAGGCGGAGAAAGTGGCGTTCACCTCCCCCACCTCCAACACAAACACCTCCGCGAAGCTCCAGACCCTAACAGCGTCTGGCAGAGGCCCCTGACCTCGTCCCCTAAACCCTCGCCAGGGGCTGGGGGCTCGTGACGTCAACACTCTCCTCCCTCCCCGCTTTCCGACAGTCGGCGGAAAAACGGAAACTGCGCACTAAGCCGGGCGCCGCCCGAAATAGCATCTGGTGCATGTCGGTCAGCGCGTTGTCCGAATATCCCTGAGCGAATGACGTGGTCCGGGGCCCCGCCAGGAAATGCCACCCCTCCTCCACCCGCCCCCAACAGGGCCTTAGTCGGGCAGGAAACCCGGAGCGCCTGGGATGGGAGTGGCAAAAGGGGGGAGGGAGGCTGGGACCCAGACTGGTAAGTCTGGAGTCTGGCCCTGGAGCGGCCAGAGCAAGGAGGGCCGGGAGAACAACCCAGCTAGGCTTTGGGGCTGAGGCCGTGATCGCCACTCTCCAGGCTGAGCCCCGCCCTCCACTGCCCCAGGAAGGATGGGTTCTCCTAAGCCCCAAATCCGAGGCTTTTAACATTTTCCAAGTATTT